ATCACCAAGCGCGAAGCGCCGTGAGGTATTTGGCGAGTCGCATGAAGGGTGAGCTGCATCCTGTTAAGGGTGTTCGGCATCTTGTGCTTACTTCCTTGCGTACGGATGACAGCTACGTATGACTTAATTTATTTTCTGGTGCTTTCACTTCCAGAGACAATGTTGGGGGGGGGGGGGGCGAGAAGAATCGAACGGCCGTGGGCCCAAAATGTTGATGGTCTCGACACTGGCGTTCCGCTTGGAGAAGTTGGTGCTGACTACTCCTTGCGAAAACCTTAGGCGATTCGTGAAAGCGTTGCCGGTAGCGATTCACAGCACTTTTCAGGAGGCGTGACACGTTATTGCATGGTTTTCCTCGGGGCTCGATTCATGTTGAGGTTTTGCGTTCCGCGTGGCTGCTCAGTTACAGTAGTGGTTTCTCCGTTCTGACAGGTAGTAGGGTCCAGAGGGAATAACCTGTAGCTGTCCGGCTGTGGTCCTACAGCGGTGGCGAGCGAAGACACTCATCGTACGAAACTGCTACATTCGTAGGCTAAGAGAAGTACGCGCTTCTGCTGCCGGTGTTTGACTTGTTTTTTTGGCGTGAACGTTAACAGCTATTTGAGTTTGCTTCGCATACCGTATATGACACAAGATAACACACCCCCTGGACCGATTTTCAAAGCTCGATTACTCCACGACGAAGAGGATGCATAAACGAAACAATACGTTTTCGAACAGCTCTCGACGAGACCGTTCCAACGCCGCCGTTTTCGGCGCTGTGACTCTTCCTGCTGGTGAGAAATTGAGCTTTGAAAATCGGCCAAGGGGGTGTGTTATCTTGTGTCATATACGGTAAAGTATTAGTGGTATGTTTCTTGCCTGCGGGTCCGCACTCTGTACATAGATAGCTGGAATTAAGCCTGGATGTGTAGAAGCGTGGCAGTGACGAGTGTACCGGAAGATAAGGTGTTCTGAGGGGGGGCCTCTCGGCAGGGATACCTGCCACTATCTTGACGGACTGACTGTCAGATATTCAGGAAATAAAAAAACGTATGTACTCTCCCAAACACTAGCCAAAACTTTAGTCCCCGCTCCCCGCATTTTTCTGCTTGATGCTGCTGATTCGCCGGGGCCTCTTTCATGTGTCGTCCGAGGTTTTTTCTCTGGTATGCACCCCCCCGTGCCATCTCCGATGTCTCCAAAATCTGCTCATGGTGAGGTCCAGGGGTTCATCTTCGAGTGTCATGTGTCATGTGTCATGATGTGTCATGTGTGGCGTATCGATGAGAAGCGGATCGAAGAACTGGTGAGTGAGAAAAAAAGAAAAAAAACAGAAGTTTAGTTTTGTTCGTCGGTCGTCGTCCACGAAAATGACAGTCCAGTGACGTGCCGGTCACTTGTGGTCTCCTGTCCCCTTCGACTAGTGTCCTGTTGGGTGTCCAATCCCTCTCCCTACCCCATCGCACTTTGTACATTTGCTGCGAGTTTACCCTAGTGGTGCACTCACACAGCAGTTCCGCCAGATGAAGAAGTGCAGAGACGCAGAAACAGTGTATGTGTCTTCGTATGCATTATGTAGGACTTACACGGTAGACTAAATTCGCGACCATGTGAAAGTCTCACCGCACGATCAATTTCTTGAGGACTAAAAGACCAACAACCAAGCAGAGACCCCGCACGCCCAGCTAGGACCGACAGCATGCTCAAGCCTACGGGGGGCGTCACACCAAGGACGGGTGGCGATCAGTATGGGAAGAACCAACAGCACAGGTGAGGTTTGCGTCACTCGCTTGCACCCTCTGCCCATCCATCCAAACATGGACATACGTCGTGTTTGATCTCGCGTTCTCAGCGTCGCAGTAGGTACCACGTTCACACCGGAAAATGTGGGAACGCGACTTCCCACGTCCATGGCAGGCCCACTGGGAGACGCATTGATGGATGGTTTTCACAGAGGCACTCCATTGCAACGACGGTGATGTGACAATCGTGTGGACTAATAACTAGCGCTACTTGCTGTTGTCTCTTCTCGTATTTTTCTGTATGATATAGTCTATCTGTTCAGACTGACTGGTTGGGTGAGAGGGCGACCACTTTGTAATTACTCCATCCTTCCTGCGGGTCCGGTGTGACTCTCTACCCTGTATTTCGAAGCCGCCTGTACCTCTACATCTCAAAGGATGCATACACGCCCAATTGCTGTTGTGTATGCAAAGACCATCACGGGTCTCCTTCGTTTTTGCCTCTTTTGGCAGGTGGGTGAACAACTAACAGCAGAAGGACGCGTTTCACAAAGGATATGTTAAGTTTTGCCACCAAGGGACTTTATCATTCGATTATTGACTGCTACGCTACTGTTGCAATTCAGGCTCACCACTGGCTCCTTCTGATTGATGGCGCACACGATAAACGTATACGCGAGTAGCAAGCACCAGACCAGGTTTGTTTGACGTTCAAGATCCAAGAGTCGTGTAGCTCATACAATACAGACCAGATTATTGTCCTGCTGCTGCTTTGGTTTTGACGACCGGAGCACCATGCATTGCGATGCGCAATGCTTGCGAGGCTCCGTGAGCTGTTCGAGTCTGTCGTGGACACGATGACCGGGCGTTTGCTATTGAGCAAGCAGCACCACAACCTATCCCACACTATTCGTCGGAAACAACCAACTGCTGTCGGTCGGGCAGGGTCTTATATAATAAGGGTCATTTTCAGCAGTTCTTAGCCCCCGATGTGCCGACATGTGTGTTTGCCTCAACCGCTGTGCGGGCAAAGATGGGCCAGTATCCATCACGTCTGGGCAGCAGAACTGCCATCCAGCCTAGTGTGTCTAGCGCCCTCGCGCCCTCGCGACGATATCGCTCCCAAACAAAGTTCTTTTCGTCGAAACCTGGGAGTGTTCCTTGGTCTTCGCTCAAAAGAGAGAGAGGCGTTTTCGTCCAATTGTAGGAACCGGGTTTCCCATTCATTGAAACCGTCAATGCACGGGACGTGAAACGGCGCAAGATGGGTTTTAATTTGTCCTCTTGGCTATTTTCAATTTTCAAGTTTTAGTTTTTCAACCCCCGGTCCTCTCTCTCTCTCACTTTCTATATATAAATCTCTGTTCAACCCCTGGTTCTGTTGGGCAAACACAGCCACACGACAGGATCACAAACAGCAGCGGCAACAACAGCAGCAGCAAGAGGCACGCAACAGGAACACGGAGCCTGCGAGAGCACACCCTGGATATTATACTGCTGCAACTTTCGCGTTTCACCACCGCGCAGCAACTTTTGCACGATCCAAACTGGAGGGAGCCAGGACAGAGAGCCTTGCAGTTCCATCATATTGTAGCGGAAGAGGGAGAGAAAGGTGAGTTCCGTCCTTGGGAAATAGAGGGAGCAGGAGAGTAGCAGAGGGAGGAAGGGGAAAAGTGCTGCAGAGGGTCAATCAGGTCCAGCCCGTGTCGACATGTGGCGGGTTCCATGCTTTGTTCTGCTGGGAGGGGTTGAGTCCGCGGATAGATTACACAGACCCCAGCTTTTTTGTGGTTGCATCAAGTTTGTGTGTCTGCTGGAGAACGCATCGAAGAAGCAGGGTTGTCGGGGGGAAGCTATTATAATAGCTAGACCCGGGATGTCATGCAATACCCCCCATACCTCGAGGGCCTGTGCTGTCCTGTCCCTGTTGGACATAGTGTGCCCAGCTCAAGACGACAACAACCTCAACTTGTGGTCTTCTTGATGGTCACACAAACTTCAAACACGTACACCCCCATCTCGAGAAGGAGGCTGTGAGTGATCAGACAAAGGAGACTACCCACAGCAGTAGCTTTGGAAGATGCTTCTTCGGCTTTCGGGGGGTGTCATTGCTCGTCCCTTCCGAGGGTAGAACTTGCCGGGATCGCGGTATCATCGTTGAAACTTTGCTTTCATCTTCCTCTCATCGTAGCTGCTGTGTGCTTCGCTCAAACAGCGGTGGCCACCGGTGCAAGCTTTTTGAAGCACCTTCTCCTTTTCGTCATGATGGCAACCACAAAAAACACCCACACAACACACTGCTGTATGTACACATGTACCGTTTAGCGAAGCCGTAGAACGCTTTTCTACCGATTGGCCTCAGATACCAGCAACAAGCCACATTGCATCAAGGCTGCTCCCCTCTCGCCATGCCGTGCACTGAGCTGCTGCTGTTACTGCTGGGAGGACATGCTGACGCTGCTTTGGTATCTTGGTTGTGTGGGCCAAACCACATAACGGCCTTGGTGTTAGAGCGTTCGCCTGCTCCGTCCATCTCCACGTCCGGACACGTTTCTGGCCGCTTTTCTTCTTTTCTAGATATCATATGTGGGTATTCACCACACAGCAGCCACCAGCCACGGCACACCACCCACCCCACTGCTGCTGTTGCCACCACGTCCACGCAGGGCAACTACCGCCCCTACTCTCAAAAACCGTTCTTCTCTTGATAACGTTCCCACACAACACCAGATTCATTCCCGGTGCCTCAATCTACACTGAGTTCCTATGCCTTTTCCCCGCGCACCGGTAACATCGCTCAGGAGCTTTTTCGACGTACCAAGCGGTTCCAACAGCACCAAATAGCGAACGATGATGACCAACAGCGGTGGGCTCAAGCGAGGGCGATCGGACGGCGTCCCGGATCATGAGGACGTGAAGCGCGTCAAGATCACGGCTGAACACCCCGAGACTCTGCCGACATTCGGTGCGGGCGAGGTCGTGGGCACAACATCGTCACCGCCAGCAGCAGCAGCAGCAGCAGCACCGACGAAGCAAGCAGCACCGACGAAGCAAGCAGCACCGACGAAGCAAGGGCCATGGGACAGGATCAACCGCGTGGTGTTCGTTGCCACGGCCATGAACACCGACGGGAGCGGCCTCTCCGCCTGCCTTGGCCTCGACAAGCTTCGGCAGGAGTCCGCCGCCCGCGTGGCTGAATGCCAGGCCCAGCTCCAGGCCGAGCTCGACGCCGAGCTCCTGGCCGAGCAACAGGAGCTCTTCGCGGGGCTGCACAACCTGGGCGTACTGCGGTACGCGCCCGTGGCGCACGTGGCGAGGTTCCAGGAGGAGCTGTCCGCGGAGCAGCAGGAGCTGCGGCTGGTGGCAGGGGGCTTGCGGGGTCTCCGGAAAGCACCCGCTAGCCGGGTGGTGAGGTGCTGGGAGGAGTTCCGCATCGAGGAGGAGGCGTTCCTGAGGTCGCACGCCGGGGGAGGAGCGGGGCCGGCGGCGGCCGCGGCGCCGCCGGCGGTTAGGGCACGAGCGGGGCCGGCGATGACCTCTGCGGGAACGGCCCGCGAGATGTCAACGGAGGGGAGGCCAGAGGGGTGTGCTGCCGGCGTGAGTTCCAAGTCCGCGTGGACAGAGGAGTTCCTCGCCGAACAGGAGGAGGCGTTCGCTGCGGCCGGGGAGCAGGTGCGCCAGGACCTCAAGGAGTTCCGCGTGCTGGTGGAAGGCCCGGGGGCGGCGGCGCACGAGAAGCTCGCGGCAGACATGGCGGCGGCGGGGGCAACGGAGGCAGAGTTCTTGGAGGAACAGACCGTCCTGGCGGAGCGCATCCAGCAATGGCAGCGGCGGGAGTTCGTGGGTGCGAATGGGGGAGCGGTGGCGGGTAACCCGGCGCTCGCGGATGCCCTTGACGGAAAGGTGGGGGCCGATGGGGTGGGGGGCGCAACTACACCGGGAGGACAGGGTATCGAGGAGATGGGTCTGGTTGTGGGCGGACCGCTAGGCACTATCGTGGAGGAAGAGGAGGAGGAGGAAGAAGATGAGGAAGGGAACAGCGGGCAGGAGGTGGGTTTTGATACGGTGTGTGATGGCGGGTAGGTTGCGTGGGAATTGTTTGCCTTATGAATGGTGTGTCATGTGTTGCGGTCAACGTGGTGCTAAGGAATCCCTTGGTTGCCGCGATTGGACCAATTGCGTGGAGGACATTTGTAGCGTGGGCAGTGCTGCGATCTGCGCGAGTCAGCAGCATCTCCCGTAGCAGCATCTGCCGCAGTACCAGCAGCCCTCGTCCTCACATGTACTAAAAACACGCTCCATTTGCATTTTAGGGTGTATATTTCAGACACACCCACGCCACCGACGTTGTGCCGTACATCTCCCCCCCTCGCTCTTCCTCCTTCCCTCTACCGCAGGGCTTCGGCACCGTCAGCGGCAAGCGACCGGCCCGGTTTGCCATAGACGGCGACTGCGGCTCTGATACCTCGAGCATGGGAGTGACGGACGGCGAGATGAGCGACTTGTCGCCCGAAAGGGCGGTGCGCAAAGGAAAAACCTCTCTCGACGCCGGCGCAGCCAAGAGGAAGAGGGGGGCCGAGGACGCGGAGGTGACCCTGGAGGTAAGACGTTGTATTCTGGGAGGGGCTCGCCGCCTGGCTGTTTTCTTTCTCCCAGTTTCTCTAGCCGTGTAGATAGTGCCAGAGCAAACCAGGTTGTGTCGCTGAGAGCCCATCATAGTTAAGGATACGCCGCCTACAAAGTCATGGCGGATTTTTGCAGTTATGGCCTTGCGTCTACCTTCGGAACCTAGATTTTTCTTCTACAGATTTCTGCGATTCTTCTGTGCCCCCTCTCACACCGCTTCGACACTTGGGGATTTGCACATCTCTCATCCTCTAGATTTAGCGCTCCCCAATCGAGATGTGACCGTTCTCAACCACTCCCCGCCCCCCCGCCTGCACCTTCGCAAGCAACCCGCGGGTACAACAAAATCCAGTGCCGCTGCATCCCTCAACGCACGGTCTTACATGCAGCATCGCGACAATGACCCACACACACGTATCACCGATGCGCATGCTTGACGTTTTCACCCGAAGGTCAAGAGGTCGAAGAGCTAACGCCACAACACCGGCAACAATAAGAGGGGGACAAGAGGCCGCTTCGGCACGGTGATGGCAGTGGCCGACGGTAGCGTATGGGAGAGTTTCTATCACGGTTAAGCTCCAGATTGGTCCTGAGCCTTAAGGTGCATGGTGTTCATGGCCTTGGGCACTCAACGCAAGGGGAGGGGGGGGGGGGAGGAAGTTCAAGATATCCATTATAATGTGGGGGGCAGGGGGGGGAGGCGTATGTACAGGATATGCTTCGGTGTCATATTCATCCTAAAAGGGCCAGGGACTGCAAACAAGATGACCATCTCGTTCTGGAGTTTGGCTTGAGGGGTTCAGTGGGGGAAGAGCTGCGGCACGAAGCACAAGTTGTTTTTTGGGACGGTGGGGGGGGGCAGCTCACCAAGTTGCTACGGACGTCAACTACCATTTGCAAGGGGGGAGAGGAGCGCAATCGGCAATGTCTCTTGTACAAGCACTTTATTGTGTGGTTGCTCTGTTTTCGGGGATAGGGGGTGTCGGGGATAGGGGGCAACACTGGAGCGCATCGTATTCCTCGTGGTTAACCACAATAGAGCTCATTGAGCACAAGAACGGTTTTTTGTGTGTGGCAGTCCTCCGCAAGACTAGGCCCCCATACGGTTTGCACTGTACAAGCAGTAGGCATGCTGTATGTGCCTGAAGTGTTGGTGGGGATGTTTTTTTAGAACGTGAAGCGACCCTATTTTTTCTACATGTAGGACTTGTTATTTACAATCAATCAATCAAGGTGTCGGTTTATTTACTTCTATCAAGGTTTGCGATCTATTTATTTAATCAAGATTTCGATTTGACCGGCTTCGCTTGCGAGCAGTTCGTTTTACGACGTGTACATCATAGAAACTTGTGGTTTGTCGTGTATTTGACAGGCACCGGTAGAGATTACCCCTTCATTCCAACCGCCCAGAGAGCCTATCACTGATTTCGGCGGCGGTGTCGTGAAGCACGCATGTGACGCGGCACAGTCGTAGGGCCGGGCTTACACCTGGTCGCCGTCGGATATTCGACATACCGCTGCAGGCTGCGCCTTGCGTGTTTACCCCTGTACTCGATGGCGCACTGGACACACAAGGAGTGATTCTAGCCCCCCGGGGGTACGGACATGCCAGTTGTTGCGTTGTTGTTGTTGTGTCTATTGTTGTCCTTGTCGTTGTGCTATTGATGTCACTGTTGTTGTTGGCGTCGTTGTGCTGTTACTGTCTTTGGTTTTGCTATTGTTGTCGATGTTCTGTTGATGTTCTCTGAGATGTGTGTGAGGTATTTAAGGCAGACGGGATGACTACTGAATGGCAACTCTGTTCTTGTAGTGGATGGTAGTGTTGGTGATGTGCTTCTGCTGCTGTTGGCGTGTGTGTGAAGGCTGAAGGACGAATATGTAACAGTGTTGGTGGACGGCACCTACAATATGAGTTAATTGTTCTTTGTTGGTTCGGAGGCCGTAGAACACCCAGCCAGGAAAAAGACTTGAGTATCCATATGAAATGACAGTTGTTGAAGTTTGGAAATAGGGGAAACGGCTCGAGAGTACGTATGCATCCGTCACTGTTGGAATTGGGTATTTTTCTCGAGAGCACTATATCGGTACAGTAGGGTGCGAAATACCTCTTGTTCTAGTTGGGAGGCGTGCACGACCTACACGACGGTACGGGGGGGGTGTTTAAGCAACAGCTGTCGTGCTCGCTTCTGCCATGATGATTGAAAGGAAGGCCGCTAATATTGTGCTCGAGGCAGGCACGTATTTAGTTGTATCAGGCCACGAGTTACTCGAAGGGGAATTGAATCGTCGCGACAGATGCAAGCATCCTTGTCGGTGGAGGGCGGGGAGGGGAAGGGACGGAGAAGGAGGGTACTGCAAATGCAGGTAGGGATAGGTTTGGATTGGAGCTGGAACCAAGTACAGCCTAGAGTGCCAGACGTATATTACCATAGGGGAATCTTGGCGTAGGTCGGGTGAGTTTAATACAAATACTGCTAGAAAGAGACAGCCCGCCGCCGACATACAAGGCAAGGGCAGGGAAATCACCCCCAAGTTCTTGCGTCATCCTCTCACAAGCGAGGGAGAGCCGGTTGAAGGGGTTGAGGAAATTTGGTCCGAGCAACCGCTCCGTCATTTAGAGCTACGCACGAGTCCGAGCAGCTACACCCGTCATCTCAGAACAAAAACAAATGTTGGTCTTCGTTGCATCATCTACAGATAAATTGCCCTGCACATGTAGGGCTGCCTCCAATCCGAGGTCCACTTTTTCCTTTGAACGTGCGTGTGTGCATGGTTGGCTACGACGAACGAAAGTTGTCGAAATCATGCGAACAAGGGGTGGTCCAAGAGACGCCTATGCGCCTCTGAGTTGGTGGGGTATTTGGCAGCAACACTAAAAAGACGTTGAAGGGATGATGGTGGAGGCAAAATGCTTGCGTTTGGCGCCGGTGTGGCTTCGATTGAATTTGCTCCGACAGGGTCCTCGAGGCGTAGGTCGCGCCAAGGCACCGCCGCGATTTCGTGGTCGTAGCTTTTGCGAGCCGAGAGAAATCGGCCGAGGCCAAAAATCTCCTCGAAACACACCGTTGCCGCGAAATCATGTCAGTATGTTTTTTCAGTTGCTGAAACCAATCCTTTTCGGATTGGAATGGCTTCTAGCTCTACAGGGTGGGGTTTTGGTCTCACTGGGTGTCAGACCGGGTGAAAGCTCGCAATTCAGGGTAAAACGCAGAATCGTGAGTACGCACAACAAGTTGGACTGCCGAACCTTCTCTCACGACAAAGGCTGAAGGCAAGAACCGCAGGAGTGTGATCTCCCTGTGCGTGAAGCCGGTTGGTGCGACGTCAAACATGCTCACCCAAAGGAATAGACTGGCACCCCAACAATATATATATAGTAGATCGGACTCGAAAAACACAAAACCACAAACGTGAGGACGATATTGTCCTGGATATCACGGCCCTTTGCTACCAATGACGACACAGCCCATATCTGGGTCAGCCACAGGACATACTTTACGGGACCATCCGGACAAACAAATCGGGGTCGAATAATTGTATACATTTGGTTTTAAACAATACATGTACCAAATGCGCCCACTCGTAGTATTGCTCGCCGTGTCGGCGGCGACAACTCTGACGAGATATAGCACCCTCGACCACGACCACCCCCTCATCCGTGTCCATGTCCCCCATCTTCTCTTGGCTTGCACATGCTCCCGGCATCACACAATGTTTTCTTGACCATTCCTCGTGCTCGTGACTACTGCTTCGTTTAGAAACGCTGCCGACTTTCAAACATGCTCTCATTGTACTAGGCACGCTCTGGGTAGAACTACATTCCTCCCACAACGGCGCGAGAGCTCCTCCCGTGCCTTGAGCGAAGCGAAAATCCGAAAGCTCATTGCCAACAACTCACGTAGTCCTGTTTCAGACAAGCAACCGGGTCTACACACTTGTGTTCATTTCCAGCTCTCGCCGCCTCCGCCCTCGGCGTGAAGCACAAAAGCTTGTACTCCCTGGCAATTAAACCAAACTCTACTCCAATTAGCAACATGCCAATGCCCAGAAACACTCCCCATAGACGAGGGTCGTCATCTTCCTCGGCATGGAACACCCCAAAGACAGTGAGGCATGCCACACTGGCACCGCCTACCAATGTCTTCACGTCCTGATACCATGGAGTCCGCGAACCCTGAACAATGAAAGAAGCAACGATTTGCGGTTGCTCGGTGAGGTAGGGATACACATAACGGACGTTGATTATCGCCATTGTTCGAGGGGTTTCGATGTGTAAAGTCAATACACAACTCAGGAGAGCAGCCCGAGAGACAAAATGTCATGCACTCGAGATCGACGGGATACTTGCCGATGGAGCGGAAGTATAAAGGAAGCCGTGGATTAGCACCGCGGTATATCAGGGCAGCTTGAACGACTGATTGAAAGTCACGCAATTTCGGCCATCTTCTACAACTCCATGCCGTCGAACGCAACTATTTTACACACTGCTTGTACCGTATTTTAGTGTTGTGACAAAGTTGTACATGCCTGGCTGCTTGCGCTGGTCTGTGCAGGTGCTTGGCTGCTCGAACTAGTTTGTCCGGGAGCTTGGCTGCTTAAACTGGTCCGTGCAGGTGCTTGGCTGCTCGACCTAGTCTGTGCACGAGCTTGGCCGCTTGAACTGTTCTGTTCAGGTACTTGGCTGCTCGGACTGATGTGGAGAGGAGCCGGGGCCAGGAACCTGCACAACAACAGTCAGTTAGGTTCTGAGACGAGCAAAATATGATTCACGGAGGCGTGAGCAGTCCGATATTTGTAATGCATGTATGCAGTCGAGCCACATCATGACCTGGACGGAGGCCTTTGTACAAGGGAAACAGCACTACATGTTGTACTTCACCATCGCTTGAACACGGTACCAAAAAAAAGCGCCCCCACCTCGGAGTTGCTTCCAGGCCATGACGCACAACCCTGGAGAGCCACCTTCTCGGCGAACTGCTCACGGAGCTGTGCATCGAAGAACTTCTCGTCTGAGATTTCCACAACCTGAAGAGCAACCGCCACAAGGCCTAGAGCCGCCGAACGGTCCTGACATAGTTTACAAAAGTCACTCTCCCCGACCAAGCAGGATCCAGGCCGTGCCTGCCAAAAGAGAGAGCGGACGGGCGCCGTAATCAGTAAGTGCGCAGATTGCAAGTGTGGTGATATTCTCGTGCCTGTGAGGCCAAAAAACACTCGTCTACAATCTGAATGAACCAAAGGGGAGAAGGCAAATTATTGATAAGACCTGGAGGCAGCTAGTGTGCTGATTGGCCAGCACAACCGTCAGCTGGATTTGTGACGCTAGCTTCGAACGTCACTCTGTTGAGGTGGAACTACTAGGACCATCGAACGAATAAAAAATATTTTGAGCAACAAAATCGGGCGCTTACATCTTTAGTCCTGATCTTCATGCGGTTGGTCTTGTGGAGTGGGCAGAAAAAAATTGTCCGGCAGGGTAAACCAGGGAACTCCGAGAGCATATCTTGATCGTGACGGAGAGGACTTTCGACAGAGCCACCCACGCGAAGACCTCCGTACACCCTCCGAACGCCTCGACCGTCAGAATCTTATCTTTCTCAGAGTACTCTAAACTCAGCGAAAACAGCCCTTCTTCCGCGCCGTCACCCACTATCAGAGCCCCGTATCTCCAGAAGGGGTACGGAAGGCCCAAGTGACAGCACCGCGCCAGGAGACGCTCGACAAAGCCGGGATGCAACCCTAGACTGAACGAGCATTCCACAAAAAGCCTCAGGTCGAAATTGTTAACTTGTTCTGCTTCCTTGAGCTTGATACCATACTCAGGTGGCGGCTTCGTGTCCATGCGCAAAAGGATAACCAAGCCCCCATTGGAGTCATTCGGTAGGGGAAACGTCAGCCCTGCACTCTTCAAAGCCAGGAGAAGATGCGGTGCGAGCTCTGGGCCCCACAGCTCTTCAGCGAGTTGAGGTTCCAAAACATGTTCTTCGTCCAGCCGGTCCAAGCTGTCAACGTCCACCACCCTGATGCCACCAAGGTCGATGTTTCCATATGAATCTCGCTTGTGACAAAACAAAGGGTCCAGAACTGTGGCAAACCATTCGACGTCGAGGAAGACGTAGCTGCCGTATTCCACCAGTCCCCCCGCCCACTTCCTGCACACAGCAGTTGTATGATACAGCGCCGGGCCCGACGATATATTGGAAGCAGAGTTGAGGTGCAACCTGCACAAACTCTACTGTCCGACAGGACGGTCCCAACCTATACAGCGTAAACATCTTAATCTTGCGTGACTTTCTGCGCCCAGATTTCAAACATACGAAACGAAAATTTCAGGTATCGATTCATAAAAATAACGCCAACGAAATTGGACAAGTGGTGTTCCGAAGGACAAAATTCCACAGAGCCAACCGAAAATCAATGAAGCGGAGACAGAACCCACCTGATCAAGATCGCGCCAGACATGGCCGCGTCCGGGGCCGCTACTGGCGTTCCGGCTCGGTTCAGGTCAGCCACCCCAGCTTGCCACTTTTCCTGCAAAATCGCTCTGGTGATGCCGCGGGTTTGTTGTTCGGTCTTGCTCCTGGAGCAACAGCGGTGCAATCAAGAGGAGGTGCAAATTTTATCCATCCATTCGCGACGAACCATGCAAGGATAACGCGCACACAACCGTGGCGCATTGCTTGATCATCTGTCGAGCCAAGGTGTGCATGAACATGAGCGGACACAGCAACGCTACGCTCAATGTGGAAACCACAAACTCTACACACATTGATTACGCCAGTGACGTGTGTGTGACAGAAATGTATTGGACTGCATGGGAAGAGTATGTCACACACGAAATAGCGACATGGACGTGGCATCGATATGACCATACCTACTGCATGACGCCAGCTCCTCCAGCATCTCAAGGGCGAGTCGATAGCTTTCGGGAAGACGCATGGTAACAGCCCTCATGTCATCGGCAGAGTTGTATATGATGCGATGGAAAAGCCCCGGCGTACTCTTGTCGCAGGGCCAGCCTGATCCCCCACCGAATGATGGTGCTATGACGCCAAGATCAGACGGCGCACAGCTCACGAGACTGACGCCATCTTCCAACGAAATTCCGCGTGGTTGATGTCCGCGCGCAATCTCTATCCAGGACTCCAGCCATTGGCGGCTCTCATGTTCCACGTCAACCGCTACTGCGGTACGCCTGGTCCTCACCACGCGGTCACACTTGTTTCCCACAAGTATCACACTTGCGTCCGGCACGCGGAACGTCAAGTATCGTAGCCAGGGAGCAATCGCAAGGTCTTCAAGGTCCAACCCTTTCATCTCGCAGGCTTTCGCCGCAGCCCATACCAGCAGATACACAGCACGAGGGGTGAGAAACAGCTGGAGCAATCCGTAGTAAACAACCTGTCCAATGGTCAAAGTGGGGGATCACAGACACGTGGAGAGGTGCAGATGAATCGCAACGTGATGTGAATTTGGCTGCAGGGTGCAGAATCATAGGATACGAAACTAAAATTCATCATACACGGCCGGGGTCAGGAAACTGTGAGGTGGTAGTCATCGTCGCAGTGATATTCCACAGGTGGTCTATCGTACCTAGGTATCGACGATATTCCCGCCAGCTGCACGTTTCTGACCAACAACGAGGAAAACAAGAAAAATGCACCCCCAAGAAGTTAAAACAGAACTGTTCGGTATGTAAGCTGAAGAATATCATTGGCAGTGCGCCCGCGTGGACGGCACTACAAAAGCTAGAATAGATAAACACGACAACAGCAATCGCAGGAGGCGTCCATGCGAAAAGCTGGGAACAACGGTTGGAAGCTAGTCACGACAACATGAACCTAACTCGACCTCCAGTCTCAGCGATTGCCACAGAAAGGTAAAGGCAAACGCCGACCCTCCACGTAAGCGTACTGCCCGGGTCAACTCAAACCGCGACACAACAAACGTGTAAGACCGAGCAACAAAATGCGTCACACATGGCCGGCACAATCAAACATCCAAATCGGGTGACCATCGACATCGTGGTCTTCGACATCCACTTGGACAGTGCTCTCTACACCACCCCCTCTGGTCATGCACGGCCTCCCGGTCTTGATGCTGCGCCGCAAACTGCGGTAATGTACATGAGTGTAAAACCCGAGTCCAATTGTCACCAAACAGGTCATGTGAGCATGAGTCACCCGCACAGCATCTGATGTCGCTCAACTCTTCTCCTCAGCCGCCGAAGACAATCCTAGTGTTGACTACAATGTATGAGGAAAATTCACGCAGCGTCTCAGAGCAGCACAAAATGTTGACCCACTTCGAGGACACGTCGACTCATTCTTTCAGAGCTAGATCTTGAACCCGATGGCGCCCAGTGCTGATCGCACCTCGTGCATAAATTAACCTGGCAAGTATTTTCCAGCACCAACTACGTTGCCCAGAGGCACCGCCAATAATACGATCTGGCCATCCCACGCAGAGGGCAGGGTGCATTGGTTAGAGGACGTTGCCCTTAAGGACATGGGTTTACCTGAGCGTACACACACGCAACATTGCCAAAACAATCAATTTTAATTATCTCCCACAGGCCAACACAATAAGACTGTGTACACAGAACAGGCTAAAAGAGGCATTCGCGTACCTGGTATTTCCAACAGTCTCCTTTCCAACGATGACGACCTTGAGAGGTCGGGTCACAGCGGTAGTGCCGCCCATGTAGATGGCTTCGAAGTACCTTCTCACCGCCGGTATACCACCCGCCACGATTGCCTCGGGAGGGTACTCCCACGGGTTTTGGGCAAGATGCAAACGGGCAATCCGTTCAAGGCGGTCCAAAAGAGAGGCTAGTGGCACCGGAAGGTCACCTAGAAAAACGTCAATATGGAACGCACAACATGAGGTCGGGCGGAGACATGAAACGCCATGCTGTCAACGGCCCAACATGGGCGTGCATGCGTGCATCCCGCAAGACTCGCCGCCTCGATATCCACCAGGTCACCTACCCTCCGTGCTCACAACTACACGTTTCCGGTTGCAGACATGTAACGCCTGCCCTATATAATATGTTCGAACTTGTTTGGCGCCGACTGCCAAACCCAACATATTTCCGAACTAGGCCGGAAGACATACTTCGTTCGACATCTTGAGTTCGGGGGACAAGATTGATTGTCGAACACGCGCGGGAAAATGCAGCCCACTTGACAGTCTGTTCAACAGATAGCAAAGGCAGATTGGGTCAGGTCATCTGTGTGCAACACGTAAAGTGCGATCCGAAGACTAATTAATGAATATTTCCCGAGATCGGATGCTGCTGCACGCGCTGAGCAGAAATACACTGGTCTTGTCTACAGAGCATTCATTCCCTGTGCAGTCATTCAACGGGGCTCTGGCGCAGTCCGTTTCTCAACATACAGGCTCCCCAATTCCCAAGATTGCCATGCAAAGCACACGATACAGGGGGTGCGCACCATCGCGTAAAGTTCACATCCGTCCACATGACAATTATCTACGTACCTTGAAAATATCATCGTCAAGCGACTCATTTATCCTACCTGGCCGGGCTTCCATTGAAACAGCCTCGTCCTGCCCGAGCGCGTGCCATAGTTCTGCATCGATACGTGGTGTGGTCGGCGGATTTCCAATAGTAGAAATCCTGTGTCACCAGCAACGACATACAGTCTATTCAGGATTTTAATATAGACAAACCTCAAATATGAAGCATCGTCATTCCCTGAGTGACCTGTAGGTAAATTTCGGCATCTCTAGGGCAGCTCGGCAACCTGCAACTACTTTGCTCGCATTTCAACAAGCTCACCGTGAGTCCCCCTCACAAAACTGGTATCTAGTGCGCGTATCGCATGACGGACAAGCACTCTCGAAAGTCATGGTAGAGAAGTACTCAATGCAAAACTATATACTAACCTTTGACACACACAGTACTAACCGGTAAGCTAGCTCTTCCAGCTTTTTCAAAGCTCCTAGTTCCTCGGGGACGTTCCCTGCACAAGCATTAAGAAAATCCATCAAATACTCCGGGTACATAGGCACTTCAGAAGTAAACCCATGAACACTACTCACGCTGTCAACAGGTCACATTTGCTAAAAGCTTGAATACACGATGTTCCCATCTTTTTTTGCTGTTGTTTTGCTTGTACAAGGCCGATACCCACGGAGATAGGAGCCCTCACAGAGCTGCAGGACCTTAAGCTGGGCTATCCAGCTTTCAGGTGCAATGCGCCGTCGCATGTTATCTCCAATGCCTCTCGTTTCCAGAACCACCCACTTATGGCATGGGTGAGTAGTGAGAAGGCTCACGTGCTACATAAGAACAGGCGAGATATATATGTATTCTGGACGACGACAGGGGGCACTTTGATAATTCCTCTCTGTTTGTGTACACTCTTTCCCTTCAGGCCCCATCCAACAGAGCACGTACACCTTGCGGCTTGGAGCGTCTTTCTCGTGCCAAGCAAAACCAATTAGCGGTGGGGGTATTTTGGGGATTTCGGTGGACAGCTACGACGAAAGCAACACGCGTGAATCATTGACAGGACTCATCCTGAAACTTACCGTAATAATTGGCTGGTTTTACTGCAAGTATCGGTGCTTCAGTGCTGCGAGATTCCCAGCCTCCGCGGGATCGGACCCGCATGCAGAAGAGCAAACGAGCACTGATCTAGCGGGAAGTAAAAATCTATTCCCCGCTTTCTCAAGACAGAACCCATACTCACCCACACGGTCGGCGGGACACATGTCCAACAATATGTATCTGCCTCAACGTTTCGGTAATAAATTTTGATGTTCTACCTGCAGGATCTATTCCCGAGGTGGTCTCTCATCAAGCTGGAGACACTTTTCAGTCGTCTCATTGGCAAGATGTGTGCGCTCTGTATTCGTTTCTGTTTCGACGTTTGGTCGTGCTTGTAGAAGTCGCTACGTTGAGTTCTAGAAGAGTGCTCGCCAACGCATCGGCGGTATTCATCCTGGCCTTGATCGAGAGAAAGACATTAGACCCACCGGTACGCTGGTTTCGCGAAAGGGCGAGGGTTTGCTGCGCAGCGAGTTTTCCCAGCTCCGGCGAGATGGGGCCTGCAGCGCATGAGCAATTGATTAGCGGCGAGTAACAAAAAAACATTCCCGCCTGTTCCAGAACATGTACCCGCCTACAATGCATTGGCGAGTAGGCTTCTAGAACCCAGCGGAACAGCTTCCTACCAGAAGGGAAGCTTGTTGTTGGCCAGGAAAGGCTTGTCAAGCTTGCTGAGAGCTACAAGCTCTTCGGGAATCGCTCCTGCACAAGAAGCATAGCGCGAAATGTTAAACGAACCATTGTGCGGGCTGCCAGAACATGTGTGCCTATGTATTGGCAGGACATACATACATGAGTCCAAGAATAACACAACACCTTGCACAAAAACAAACAGTGAACGCCCTCTAAAAAACTTCATGTTTTTCTTGTGCAGGACCTATTCCCGAGGCGCTCGGTACTCTCAGAAAGCTGGTGGTGCATGGTCTGGATGTAAACCAGCTTACAGACAAGATGGGGTCTTCGTCAACTACTGTTACAGTTTGTTGCTGTTTTACCCTGGTTGGTGAAAAGTTGTTCCACTGGGTTCTAGAAGCCTTCTTGCCTATGCGTGGATGGGATCCATGCATATTGTTTTTAAATGAGTCGAGGAACACCGTCAAGGGGAGTCAAAGAAAAAAAAAAGTGCAGTACATGCCGATTTACCTGTAAGTTTGTTGTTGCTCAGCCCAAGCACCTTCAGGTCGGTGAGGTCCCCGAGCTCCGTTGGTATTGGACCTGCCCAAAGCAACACAGCGGAACACCGAAAGTGGCAAAAATCATCAAATTTCTAGATCAGTCCCGCCCACTCGAATCATCTGGAGAAGATGTTGTCCCGCCTAAGTTTCTATAACATGAACAGTCTACTCGCCCAAACAAGGCAGGATTCATTTTCACATTTGTGCCTAAAGACTCACCGCTAAGCTTGTTTCGGCCAAGGTGAAGAAGCTTCAGTGCTGAGAGGTTTCCTAGCTCAAGCGAGATGGGGCCTGCAACAGAGAGCGAAACAGAAGTGTCGACGAGACGTAAACAGCAGTGTTTCTCCCGGCTTGTAGAACATCTGAAAGTTGCGCCGCAAGAGTTCCAGAAGGCTCTCGCATCCGGTGTCGGCATGAATCATGCCGAAAAGAGGAATAGCCACTTGCACTTCGTGACCCATCGCTCAGCTGGTTGCCCGCAAGTTTGAGATGCTGTAGTGCTGCTAGGTTTCCCAGCTCCGGCGGGAGGGGACCTGCAAGCAGAAGGGCAAAAAATGAAATCAGCGGGAAATATACACACAATTCCCCGCTTTCCAGAACACATACCTACTCACCCAGGCCGTGCGGGACACATGCTCTAGAAAATGGGGGGAAAACTGTGTCGTAGAAATGTGCAACCTTGGTGGTGATGCTTTCTGCTGTACAACATGATCACGACACATCCTGAAGGAGCTAGGAGCCCCACGCAAGCTGGAGATACTTCATCTCTACGACATCGAGCTTACGGTGAGGGGTGCTTGAAAATGATCATATTTGTTATTCAAAATTCGCCCGCCTGGTTTGTAGACCACGTATTCCGCCAACTCCATAGGCAGGATTCATTTTCACACTTGTGCCTAGAGACTCACCGCTAAGCTCGTTTCGGCCAAGGTGGAGAAGCTTCAGTGCTGAGAGGTTTCCCAGCTCAGGCGGGATGGGGCCTGCAACAGAGAGCGAAACTGAAATTGTCGACAAGAAGGAACTCTTCTTGTGGTAGAACATCTGAAAGTTGCGCCGCAAGAGTTCCAAAAGGCTCTCGCCTTCCATAGGCAGGACACATGTTGTAGAAATTTCATTTTGGCCACGACGCTTACATAGTTTCAAACCCGGAAAAAAACTGCCAACCTGCGACTGGAGTCCAGTCACCAACCAAGCAAGCCCGCGATCATTAAGGAATAATAATAAATACACACACAGAGAGACATCTTACTTTGACTTCGGACAACGGAGATTTGCGGGAGAATTGTGAATGGCTACAGCAACACGTAACTATCTATCTATACTATGTAGCTCTCCGCGAACTTGCAAAGAACGCCGTCCTGCTGCACTCTGACACAGTGCTAATAGACGAAGCTGCTGGGATTTTGATGAACTGGGTGAGCACAGCTCTCGTTGAATGGGCTTGCGGCAGCGCTTCCGTGTGGACGCGAACGGAACGCACGTGGAGCTGAACAAATTGTGAAGACAGAAAGAAAGGAGGCTGATATGACGGGAGTTGTTGCCAGACACACCTTTTACTGGTAGAGCGTTTCTCCGTAATTAGAAACATGTATTGCAGTCGGCCTCGTGACTGTTTTTTTTTTTTTCGGCATGATGTGAAAACCTGAGGACCACATGCACAACATACCTCAACCAAAGAACAGGGGTGCAAAGCGCATTTGTGTCGGAACTCACCGACGAAAGGAATAAAATGGGTCCTACGCGAACGAGGCTGTGCGAAGGTGTACCGATTCTAGTAAAAGTCAATCGACGGATACCTTGCGAATCGGGTCCTCCTTACCACTCTCCACCCACAGAATTTACCCTCAACTGGGAACCTCTTGTGGCCAGGACGGGTAATTCGATGGAAGTGTCACAAGGTTCTTTATAGGATCGATTCCAAGAGGTGTTCTCAGGACTACTGACACACATTGTGTCCATGGGAAAATGTCCAAGTCAGGAGAAAAATTGTGCACCCAAGGAGATTCGAACCAGTATCCTGCTGACGCCATGTGCGAAGGTATACCGATTCTAGTAAAAGTCAATCGACGGATACCCTACGAATCGGGTCCTGCTGTAGTATCCTTAGCAGCCGACACAGCACCCACTACCCTGCTCGTATACAACGCCCCGACTCAAAAGAGCCTGAGTCAAGAGCTAGCTGTGGTACCTCCTCCCCGTTGTTTGTTCGACCTCGTCCCAATCCGCCTCCTCCTTGCAGCACCTTCAAGCGAGCTGGGCTTGGGCTTGCGTGTTGCGTGCTACGGAAGATGACAATATAGAAAGCTCTAAGGTTGCGTGTTGCGTGTGTGTGCGGAGGAACCACACCACCAACACGTACCGGGTGACTTGTTGCCATCTGCGAGCTCCCCCGCTCAGCGGGGGGTGCTGCTGCCCTCTTTGCTCTCACATGTGCAAGGTGTTCTCTCCTGTCTGAAAGCGTTCGTGCATATGTGGTGGCAGGCAGAATGTTGGGCTGAATGCTCGCGCCCCGCTGTTGAGATCGTTGAAAGGAGAGGCTGACTGCTGTGCGTACGCTCCCTTTGTCCGGGGTTTCTCCGCATTTATTTCTGTTCTTGCTGGGTTTTCTCCGCATTTCTCATGAACCTGCGGGTGCTGCAGGAACACTACAGGATCGCAGTGGTTCCGGAGGGCGCACAAAGAGCTTCGGGAATCTCGGTTGCTTCTATGGTATGCATGGTGAGCCGATTAAGGCAGCTGGGATGCATGCCGATTGATTTGACGCGGCGTGGTCAATGATGAGCGACAGAGCGACAGAATGTGTTCAACAACAACACCGATCCCACAGAGTTGTGTGTGACAACAGATTCAGCGATCCGCTGTAACATTGCATTACAAGTAAAAAAAACTGCTGGGGGATACTTGGGAGCGCATTGTCTGGAACACCTACACAGCAGCGCAGTTGCTTGGACGCCGCAACGTCGGGTCGCTTCGACAGAAAGCCGGAATCAACCGTCATGTGGTAGGTTTTTATGAGTTTGGACCGCAGAAACCGCTGCGAGGTATGTAGACTATAGCAGCTGAAAAACACGTTTGTATTTCCGGGACGCCTACACCGCTTCGCTTGAACGCCATGAAATCGCCGGGTCGCTTTGACAGGAAGCCGGAATCAACCATCGGGGGAAAAGTCTCCGAGTTTGGATCGCACAAACAAAACTGCTTCGGATTGCTGCTGAGAACTTTTCCTGGGCGCCGGAGGATCGTCATCATCTGGGGGCTGCGAAAAGAATCGACTCTCGGGTCGTACCAACGTCTACAGGGCAAGATCACCCTGCTGAACGCCATGAATACTACGGGAACGGGCGGGCGAGGGGCTTTGGAGGGTTTTCGAATTTCATTTGTGGGAAGAACACATGAGTAACATCGTAAGCACGGCCAAGGCTGATTCTTCTTGCGTCTACAATTTTATGTGTTTCCTCACTCACCCTCTCTTTGTACAACTAGAAGAGTGTGCGCCCTGTTTGAGGGCAGGTGGCCTGTGACAATGGAATGCATCCGCGTCAGTTGGACCGGTCCAGAGCATAGACCGGAACAGATTGTAATACAGAACGGGCCCGGCGATAAGAAACGTCAAAATCGGGTCTAGCCCCAATCCTTATTTTGGGTCGAAGGACCAGCCAAAGTCGTCCATTTTCTTAAAACGGATTTCTTATTCCTTTGGGCTGTCGCATCCTGCTTATTTTCTTATTTTCATATTTTCTTATTTCTCCGCGAAGTGTGGCGGTACAGCAGTACATCAGCAGTGGGTAGCGCAGCCCGCGGCGGCGCGGGGGCGCGAGGGGCGCCGCGACAACAACCAGTCCCCCCCTACAAAAAAAATGCTAGGTAGGGGGTGGGAGCATGGCAGCAGCGCAGCAGCAGCAGTGGGACGTGTATTTCTTATTGGGCACGCTCCCCAGCTACCCCTTGTTTCTAATGTGTTGGGGGTATTGCACGGTCATGTTTCTTATTGGGACGTTTCTTATGTTGCGGTCGAGATTGAGCTGTGGTTCTTAGTCCTTTTTTCTTATTTTTCGCGAACATTTGAGCCTCATTATTTTTAAACAGATGTTCTCTTAATTCCGGGCCCGTTCTGTATGAAGACAAAGACACCAACAACCCATGACAACCGACAGAGGAGGTCGGTACTCTTCATTTTTACTCGACAGTCCCTGTATGGCCTTCCTCCTGTGTGACCCCGGCTGAAACGTCAAAAATAAGCACCGAAAGGCGTCGACTGACGCCAGGATAGGTGGGATGAAAACGTGAAAGCACACACAAAAAACCGTGCTGCTATCGGAAGCCGACATGTCACCCCCACATTGTTCACCAAAGGTGACAAGACTTAATCTTTTTAAAAGACTTTTATCAATAAATGGTGTTTTAGGAGACGTTAGTTCCGATACCGGCGTCCCGCTCAATTTCTTGGAAACCGCAACCAACCTCGGCCGGCGCCGCCGCAGCGTCGCCCGCTCTCGGGGTGCAACTAGCGACTGACTCTTGTTGCCCTACCTGACATGTGCCCCAGCCTTTTGAGGATTTGAATTTTTTTTTGTCCAGTCTCATTTGTTGAGACTGGTGGTTGCGGTCATCTTCAAAGAAAGTCTACCCATTCGAGATATTTCTCCGTTCGAAGGGATGTATGATGCGTGGAAGTCTTTCCAATGAGGGTTGGGAGACACCTGTTGGATGAAACTGGAGCTTTTTTGAGTCTCTTTCTAAAGCCCATACACAGAGAAAACAACAACGCCAGTCGGGTCAAAACGCTTGTTCGTATTACGAAGAGAAGAAAACGATCAAAGGACAATGCCTCCGCCCTTCCGCCCCCACTCTCACACAGCATCTACTAACCTCCCAAAGTTAGGTTGTGTAACTGGGTGCGGAGCATTACTCTTGACCCAGCTCCCCATACGTTCAAAATGTCGCAGGCGCACGCACGAGCATCCCTCCGCTGGATTCGTCTCGTATCGAAAACCGTCATGGGTTGCAAAGACCCCGGTATATTCACCATGAAAACGTATACCCATACACCCTCTACCAACAACAACGACATGCTTCACTGAACAAAAACAGATCCACAAGAGGTGAAAGAGAAAGTTGAGGCCGCTCTCGACTTGTTGTCTTCAAAATAAGTGTCATTCCCAGACGAGCAACCTAAAGAGAAACGGATTGTATTGTATACCTCTTGATATTGGGCGTCGGCATAGAAAAAGCGGAAGACTAATCACGAAATGGCAACGTTGCTCACCGATCGAAAATCATCGCCGGACACTGAGCTTGTCGAAAGGCTATTCAATTCTCTCTGTGGAGCACGTACAAGCTACGGGCCGCTCACCGCCTCGTTGTACCAACTCCTCCTTGGCGTCAAAGACGCCGCCATAGGGGCACTACTACCCTATAGCGCAACCGAAAACGAGACACGTTCCATGCTCTCGACTACTACGGCCTTGTTGTATACTCCGAACTATATATTTCGAACAACACATCCCCCACACGCATGAGGCGAGAAACAGAGGCGATCGACCATAAAAACGTGACGCGTGACAAAATGGGGGCCCTAACCCAAGACATACACCGTGAAAACAGGGTTTTAATCTGAGATCCTGTTTTGAATCTCCAACCCTGTTTTCTGTGACACGTGACAAAATGGGGGACATAGAACGCCCCTTTGGTTGTGGTGCACCAGCACGCTACACAGTGTCTGCCATGCCTTGCACGAAACAAGCGCGGCCTCCTGCAACCACGAGCGCGAACGAAATGAGGCGTTTTTCGACAGGCTGCCCCAGTTCACCTCGCGGCTGCGTTCGTTCCTGAATAGCAGAAGACAATCGAGACTACCATCAATGCTACAGGAGTACCTCAACGTTTTAGGCGGTCGAATGCTGTGATAATCTAGTCTCCGCCGCAGCACGCGAGAGATGCAGAGAGGCGAGAACTCAGTGGGTTCATCAGATCGACGACCAGCCTCCCGTGGTAGTCCTAGCCCAGCTCATCGCACCCGGGGACTACATGCCGTACGCGGGACCCCATCGAGGACAAGCCAGAGCCAACGCAGCGTAGCACCAGCCACGAGGTAATTATGGTTCGATACGTGGCTGCCCCGTACACAAGACCACCGATCCATCGAGCAACAAGCCGACGACACCGAGGGCGCTACCTGCGTTTTTATCTACCAATGGTACCGGCAAATAACAACCGAACCCCGAGAGGATACCGCTGCGGTCAGGCCGAGTTTGGTTCAGTTCAGCAGGTTATTGCCTTGTACCCCGCCAGCAGGTGAACCAGTGCCAGGTAGGCAATCGCTGCGGTCCACAACGTCTGCGGTTGGAGGACGACGGGTTGGCGGGACGCATAACACGGGACGTTAGACAGGACAATACGCGGGGCATTGAAGGAAACGAAAAAGGAGCACGAAACGGAACAGTAATGCCAACTCCATGGCGATAAGCATGCTATCGCTGCCTCCCGCAACGTCTGAGGTGGGTTGTAGGTGAAACGAACGCGTTGCGGTAAGAAAAACCAAACGTGGAATAGAGCTCAGACAATACGGAACGTTAAATGGGAACGCGAAGCACCCAACAACACGCAACACGAACTGGGAACACAGAGAGGACTGCCGAAATCCAACGGAAGAGAAGGAGGACACGGGGTAAAAATCGACGCCAACATCAAAAACAGAGCACTCAGAACACGGACGTATCCGAATACTTCGGACGAAGCGCCAAAGCGGAGCGTAACGAACACTGGATTCGACAATTAATGGGCCGCAAAAATACACGACGCAAATAATGTAAAAAAAAAATACGCGCTCGACGGGCAAGGAGAAAACAATTGGACCAAAAATGTAACACTGCTGACAGAAACCACCGACCGACTATATTAAAAAACAAGGGTAACGTAGCGTCCACCCCCCGCCCCCATTGGGCGGTGGGTCAAGAAGGTGATGGAGGTCAACAAGAAAGGTGCTATACGTATTCCGGGGCAGGGGTGATTTGGACTCATGATGGGTTTGCGGGTAGGGCAAATCGCCTCGCTGTTCCTTAAAAGAGTTACGTGGTGTTAGAATTTGTGTGATGTTTTTGAGGCAGACATGGGGAAGAGACGATACGGTGGGGTCGCCGATACCCGCGCGGCGTTGCGCATGAGTTTTCTTTCTCCCTAATGCGTTTTGTGTAAGATAAGAAACAATTTTTCATGAACAAGAAGTAAATTGAAAAATCGGAGTACAGAAACCCGTCATTGTGAACAAGTTTTTGTGCATTAGATCGCAAGCAAGATTTGTAGTCAATGCAAGGGCAAACCCAGTTTCGGAGAAACAAACGTTGCGAAGCGAAGACGATGTCGTTGCAGCAACTCACTAGGAGAGAAAAAAGAGAGAATAAAACAACATTGGGACAAAGAGAGGAGACAATAAAGGACGGAAACCCCAGGCCCATGATGCGTATAGTACAGCAAAGAACCCGGAGATGAAAGGACCGCATTCAACACCCCGACACAACGCAAGTACGAAAGAGCAATGCTATTATTCCACGGTGCACGTGGGAAGTTGGACACATAGAAAATGCGAAGAGCTTGTATGTAGGACTATTCCCTGCTCCTCTATTTTTCTATTTTTCTTCCTCTGGACCCACCATTCGGATGAAGTGCGGTCACAGTGGCTGCAACACCACGGCTATCCCCACCGACGCCTTCCCCAACACTTGCTCCAACAAGATACCGTCCCACATCCGTAAAACCTACGATATGATTCCAACATTAATCAATGCCATTCCTAACAACTCCGCTCACGACTTTGGGCGACGGCGGCCGCAGTCTTGGGCGGAGTTGTTAGGAATGACATTGACTAGTGTGGGGATCATGCCGTAGGTGTCATGGATGTGGGGTGACATCTTGTTTGAGCACGTGATTGCTAGGGCGTCGGTGGGGTTAGCTGTGGCGTTCCAGCCACTTTGACCGCACTTCATCCGAATGATGAGTCCAGAGGAAGAACAATAGAGGAGCAAGGTGTGTGTCGGACGCGAACAAGGGCACGTTCTCCGCCTTCAGGAAAAATTGGGAGTTGTCCTTCGTCAATGCCATTTGTGGAATATCGGGTTGTCTTGTAGTGTACCTGTGCCGAACCATGAAAGGGTGTTTGACCATGCGCGTCCTTGCTCTTTTGTCATGTTGTCAGATTTTCCCCCAAGTCAGGATGTTGTATGCGTGAATAACCACACCTGTCGAACCTAGTCTAGACTAGACTATGGATGACACCACTGGACAATCGGGACATAACACTTGGTCATGCGGGAAAAAAAAGGAACGTGTCAGGACTCGAACCCGGCTGAGGACAGCGGCCGCAACCCCCCCTGCTTTTCATCGTGATGGGTAGGGATACGCACTATCTCAGTAGTAGGGTTCTTTGTTTCGTGTCATGCGGAGTTCGGTGCCGTACGCGAAAAGGAAAAACCGTTGCTGTGGCGTCCTGCTGTATCAAGCGTGCCTTAGATATGTGTGTGGTACCAAAGCTGCGCTTGCGGTAGGTGTGCAAGTACGGCCAACGTGTACTGCGCGTCTATGCTCGATGCTGCCAGTCATTTGCAACGTGTGTTGGCGTTTATGATCACGGTTGCGCGTGATGGAACGTGGATGCTTCACAGGAAAAAAAAAAATCGAGGGTGTGCTCAATGTTGTAGTTAAACCACAGACAACGACGACGATTTCTGCCTGAAAATATATCAACATGATCAACTCGTCTTGTCATTGCTTACGATGCATGCATGCATGCGTACGTTCGTTCGTTCGTTCATGACACACCTGTGGGGGCTGTTGGTGCAACCAGGTAACTAGCCCGGGCAGCCGTTCGGAGATGGCCGCTCCGACCGGGCTCGAAGCGCAGGAGATGAGCAGGGACTTGACGTGGTCACCAGGCTTGGCCTGTGCCTGAGGTCAACCATGCACAGCAAAAGCAGTCGCAGACAGCAGAAGCCAAAACAAGAGCTCGTGATCAACAATTTATTCTTTGCCGTCCTTTCGTTAGTATCGTCGTGTACACACAAAACAAGCGCACCAGTACAAGGTGTGGTTCTCGGCTTAGCTTCCCGGACAATGGGGAGGGGCTCCGTGAGTCATTCGACCTGCAACTATCCCCACCCCGAGAAACAAATGCAGCTCTCCAGACCACCTCCCCTTCCACATCCCAGAGAAACCGCTTCAAACAATCAAGAAGTTATGGACGAAGAAAAAGAGCGAAATCGTACCTTGTGTTCATCCTCATCAAAGTACCCACCACCGTCTTCTAAGTCCAAGTTGCCGCTGCTAGGGCCTGCCCCGCTCAGGCGATGCCGCTGGCGTTGCCGCATGGGAGGGTCGGCGCTCATCGGCGGTTGGCTTGGAGGCGGCACCTCGGACAAATCTGAGGGAGGGGCAAAAGAAGCAAAGAAGGATAGGAAATGGAATTAAGAACACAAGAAAAGGGACGAAAGAACAGGACGAGAGAGACGAACGCCAAAAAGGAAAGGTATACAAAAACAGAAGAAGAGGGACGCGACAAGCAAAGGAGGAAATGAAAGAAAGAAATGGCAAGAGAACGGCAAGAAAGGGAAGCGTAGCTGCGGCGCTGCCTGCGTACGGGGTTAGAAACTATGTTGCCCAACAACCTTCTCTGCGCAATAACTGCTGTGCTTGTTCAGATCACGTTCCCGTCTGATGTTCTCAATCCGTCACGATCGATCCCTACATGTTGCAATTTTTCAACCACTAATGCTGCGACCCCTTTCACTGTGATCCAACCAACGCGTTCATCGGACAAGAAAAAAAAAGAAACAACGTCAGCAGCACGAGAGGACAGCGTCCCTCGCTGCACAGCGTAAGCCACTTCGCCCAATAGGTTGTACCTGTCCATGTACACGCAACGAGGAGAGGGTACATCCACGCTGCTCTGTGGTTCCTAAACCGAGGCACAGAGCTAACATCACACAAGAGAGAGCTGCTACGAACCTACACTACTGCTTGGTGTCTGACGATCCGTTCCGTGCTAGCTCATGGCAGTAGCAACCGTCTGTGTTACAGCAGTAGTACATAGTAGCCTGCAGCAGAGCAGCCTGGCAGGAGGCTGGCGGGTATGATGGCTACGCTGTATTGCTACATGTAGGTTGGGTTGTCTGCTGCTGCTGATGATGTGATGTTGTACAGGCGTTTTGGTTCCCGGGGACGCACCTCCCGCAGCCCAGGTCACAAAGAAGCGACATATATGTCCGTAGGTGTTGCCCCCCCCCCCCCCTCCCCCCGGAGTTTGCCATCGGGGTTTGGGTTTTCGTCGCTTGGCAACGACGTTGTAAAACAAGCCAATTCACTTCGTGAACTCGCAACCCGGTTACCGTTTTTTTTTTTTTTGAACCCCTTTTTTTTTTTTTTGGGGGGAACCCTAAA